CACGGTGAAGACCGCAACAGGCGAGACCCCCTTCAACCTCACTTATGGCACAGAGGCAGTCATCCCAGCCAAGATCGAGATCCCCACGCTACGTCTAGAAGTGTACGATGACAAAGCAAATGAAGACGAGCTACGCACCAACCTCGACCTACTTGACGAGGTACGAGACATCGCATACATTAGGACCGCAGCCTACTAGTAGAGAGTAGCTCGGTACTATAACACCAGGGTTAACAAGCGGAACCTCCGCGTCAGAGACCTGGCTCTTCGTAAAGTTATGGTGCTTGAGCCCGGTGTTGGTAAGCTCGGGCCAAATTGGGAAGGACCTTACCAAGTCAAGCGGGTGTTCGGGGAAGGAACACATGAGTTTGAAACCCTAGAAGGGAAACAAGTACCTCAGGCATGGAATATTGTCAACTTAAGACAATATTACCTATAATTACCTGAGTGGACCATAAGTTGCTCCCAGGGCCTAAGGGCCAAAAAGCCGAGCTAAGGACCTCGGCGCCCAGTTGCCTCTTTGGCACGGGCGAACTCTAGGAGAGCGGACTATAAGTTGCTCCTCGAGCCTAAGGGCTAAAGCTATGAGCTAACAAAAGACCTCGGAACCTCATAAGACCTAGTTGCCTCGTTGGCATGAGATAAGTACGTTTAATGCCAAGGCACGAGCAGCTCGGGTGTGAACCCTATGATGCATAGCCCGCCCCGACATACAACTAGTTGAACCCGCTAGGGGCAACCGATGTCAGCTTAAGTAGCCCGGGGGCAGACTGTTCGGGTATATACCCTACTATGTTGCTCACCCCGGTGTACATCCAGAAGTTACCCCTACTAAGTATTGGGAGACAGTTCGGGGTAACAACAGTTGAGAGATCCCCACTTCGGGTACTTGGCTTGATGGCCTAACACTTCAGGATAACCCCTACACCCATCAGTCCGATCAAAGAAGGATAATGGCACAAGAAGGTCAAATGCACAACACTTAGCAAAAAAAAAACGTATTTCATTATCAGTTTCATTACAATGAGTTCAGTACAAAAAGAGAAGGAAAGAGAAACTGAGCTCATGGGCTTAGAGTACAAAGGCTGAGACTACTCATCATCATCTTTGGCAGAAGTCTCCGCAGGAGTGCCAGCTCGGTCGGCAGCCTCCTTGATGTCAGCGACTTCCTCCTCCTCCTCAGAGTCCGGGTCCTCGGTGGCTAAGCGGGCTACCTCTCCTGTGACCCGCGAGGTAGTGATAGCGCTTACATCGAGTTGTGGGAATTCACGCTTTATCAGCCACTTGCTGATCTTGAAGCCCTTGCGGTAGGCATCTACTATTACCCCGTCGAACTCCTCCAACTTGACATAGTCTTGGACAGCCTTGGCCTTGGCCTCCTCCATAGCGCCAAGAAGGATCTCAGTTCGCTCCTTAACGTCAGCTTCGAGGTTCTCGACCTAGCACTTCAAAGTTCCCTACTCTGACTCAAGGTTCTCCACCTTGCATAGCAACTCCTCCTTCTCGCGTTGCCACTCCTTCTCGCACCGCAACTCCTCTTTCTTTGACGACAGCGACGTAACTAGCTCCCTCTGAGCCAGCACGTCGCCCTCTAGCCAGTGGATTTTTCCGCGAGCTAGTTTCAGATTGGAGTGGGCTGAGTCTTCGACAGCCAGCGCTCGCTTTAAATGCTGCTCAGATTGGTAGGACAGGGCGTGCACGACATTGTTCACCTGCCAAGAGAATGCCAGAGGGCGTCAATAAAGCAAGAATTGTAGAAATTGAAGTCGAAGTGCAACAAGACTTACCACCATGCAGTGGGTAGCCGCTCGAGCTCCGAGCTGAGTGGGTGTTAGCTCGGCCCAACTAGAGACCTCCTCGGCACACACAACCCCTTTGCTCTTCCGGAGTCTATACCGTGGGTTCAGAATACTCCGGGCTGGTGCTCGGGCTGATCCCCCACTTCTCGAAGTAGTGGTAGAGGTCTCAGGAGCGGGCTCCGTAGTTGTCTCGGGAATGGGCTCCGCAATCGCCTCGGGCTCCCGAGGTGAGGGGTTCTCCGACTCCTCCAAGTTAATCACTGGAGGAGCATCAGCAGGTCGCTCAGCAGGCCGGTCGGGCTCGGGAGTAGAAGCCCGTGGAGATTCAATACATGCTTTCTTCGCAGCTCGCTTCTTTCTCCCCTTCATCTTGCCAAAGAGTTTTTCTGCGCTGAATTTCTCCATGCGGCCTGCAACAAGAGTTCGACGTCACTAATACTACCAAAAAGTAGAAACTGGCTACTGAAGGAAAAAATACTAACTCTTGACAAGGCGACCTACCGGGACTTATACCGGCCTCAATGAGCTTGTTCTCAGCGAGGTAGTCATTGTAGTCGAAGCTGAGCTCCACCCAAGATTGAAATACCTCACTTGTTTTCTTGTCCAGCCTAATGCCGGAGTCTTGAATGGCCACCCTCCAGTGCGTAGGGAAGGGCCACCCTGCAGCGTTACGAACTACAAAGTAGTCTCGTTTCCAGGCCGGGACTTTACTAGGAAGTTTGTGTAACAACTTGAAGCCCAGGCAGGGGGAGAGGTAGTAGGTCTGCCTGTGCTCGGGGAGAATGCTAGATGCATTCTTCTTTATTGATAAGATAGAAGAAAATATGTCAAGATCAAGAGGAAGGGCGTAGTCGAAACAGAGGGAAATTGTACCGACCACGTTCTGGACAGAGTTCGGGTGGAGTTGATCTATGGTTACATTGAAGTGATTCAACACTTCAACAATGAGAGGGTGCAGTGGAAGGCGGAGCTCAGCCGCGAGCTGTTCCCCGAAAATTATGATCTCATCATGACCGTGTTCCCAAGGGAAGTCACCCGTAGGAAGGTGGTAAGTGTACTCCCTAGGGAGGTTGTATCGAGCTATCAGGCCCCTAAGCCTGTCTACCGTCATGGTAGAAGGACCAAACTTATTCGGTACGCGACCTCGATTAGAGGTTGATGTCGGGTTACCCGAGGTCCTCCGCACCTCGTAAGTGGAATGTGCCTCGGAGGCACCTACTTGAGCCGTGGTATCCACCTCGGGTTCATTTGAGAGACTTTCAACTGGAGCCAGGGCACCCACCTAGGGCTCATCTAAGAAATTGTCGAAGCTATGGTCTGACATAGCTACAGACTGAGAAATGGGCTAAAGGAAGCTAACTATGAAATTGAAAAACTGGAAACAAACTGAAAGGAGCTGGGGAGACTCACCAAGGAAACACAACCGGACTAGGAAAGTTAGACGAGTTGAAGAACCTGAGCTAAGGACTTTTTGCGCGACCTCAAGGTGAATGCTAAGAACTTATGGCAGGGAAAAATGACCCAGGACCCCCACTATTTATAGCCGCTATGCTCGGGCATCAACGGTTGGATGCCCGAACTCCGAGCCAAATCCACCCGTCGTACCGTGAACTCCCCGCGCTGGGTCAAGACCCCTAGCACGGGGAGTGGGGGGCAATTGATGGAGGGTGATTTGGCCCGACCTCATAATGGGGGGACACGTGAACATGACTCGACATAAGTGACAACTCAGCATGACAGCCTGGCCGCAACTCGACGTGTGGTATTTAGGTTACCCCGAGCTCTCTCCCAAAGGGGGAGCGCTTCGAGGATTCTCCAAGTGAGGAGCCCTGAGCTCCTCCCAAGTGAGGAGTCCCCGAGCTCCTCCTCAGTAAGGAGCCCCCGAGTTCCTCCTCAGTAAAGAGCCCCCGAGCTCCTCCTCAAGAAGGAAGCACCCCGATCTAAGATCCCTGGGTAAGGAACATCCCGAACTGAAGGCACTTCGGGTAAGTTCGCCAATAGGTTCCTGCCCAAGCCTAAGTAACCAACTCAAAGACTTACTTTGGGCGGAAGCACCTCGATATGTCAGTAGTAGCTTGGTACCAGATAACTTGGTGTATCGCCTGACAACTGTACCTGCCAGATCTGGAGACTGCACCCACGTCTCTGGCCAGGCGGCGTCGTGCCTGCCAGGCTCTGACAAGCGTCCCCTGTCTGATAGGGCCGTACCCTGCAACGGTTACCTATGCCCACTACCTCCGGTCTGGCAGTAACGGCTACGACAGAGAATCAGTGGCAGTTACGCCAGAATTGAAAGGGCATCAGTATAAAAAGGCCTTGATCCTCAAGGGAAAGAGGGTAATTGATCTCGCGCTATCTGCACTCTTAGCTTTCCTTGTATTGTCTGCAATTCTCTCTTAGAGTTCTAACTTGATCGTCGAAGTGTTCCCGCCGGGCGAGCTCCCCGGGAGTCCTTCTTCTCCATCTCAGGTAGTCCGTTGCCAGGTAGGAGCCAGGCCATCGCTAGCTAGGAGTGACCGAATCGCACTACATCAATTCCCTTTCTTAAGGAAGAGTAATCTCGGGAGCTTCTTGCCAGGGTTTCTCCCGCCTATAGTGACTCATCGGAGGACATGCTCCATGGCTTGATAATTGCAGCCATTCATAGCTATCCCAACATGGCTTTTGTAAAAGCTTTCGTGGTGAAGCTTCTGAGGGATTTCTCATCGAGGGATTCCGTAAGGAGGATGTTGGATCGAGCATTTGAGACAAGCTTGAAGATTGTCAAGGAGTCGTTGGAAGAGAATTCAAGCCCAGATTTTAGAGGGGATCACAACGAGACGGAGGCAATTCAGCGGTTGAATCTGCATACAACCATGACTAATGGGAGGCATCTACTATGGCTGGTCGAGAGGATGATTGAATTGAGAGTGGCGGATAATGCAGTGAAAGAGTGGAGTGACTAAGCATCATTCACCGCCAATTTGCAAAGGGCATTTCGTGATGATGCATGGGGGAATATAGTTCCAGGCCTTCCAGCTATCATGCTTAGATGCACCTCCAAGCTTGCTAATGTCGTTGCTGCCGGGTCAATTTTAGCTGCTAAGCAGGTACTAGTGCAATTCAGAACTTTGTTGCATGCACACTTATTTTCTATAGAATTGTTGTTCAATCTGCTTTTTAGCTGTAGGTTTCTTGATGTTTCTATATTTTCTACTTTTTTCATAAACCGGGCAACGCTTGTGTCTGGCGGATAGCGAGTAGCTGATCTCTGCCGCCACAATTCTGGTGCGGACACTCAATAGAGAAGAACCCGTTGCCCTCTTCATGACTCACTGACTTCCTGCAACTAGGGCACGGCTTGATCTCTGCCATGGTAGCTGCACTCGTTGTCGTCGTCGGAAAATTAGAACCAGAAGCCTCAGCCTCTGAAACCACAATCCCGGCACTTGGTTTAGTACGCCACCTGAAAACAAGACCACAATTCTGGCACTCAATATAGAAGAACCACTTGCTCCATTCATGCCTCAATGGCTTAGTCTGATAACTAGAACTAGAAGCTGTTGGGTGTGGGTCCAGCCCATATTGAGGGGCCCACCCGTGGCAAAGTGGTTACCACATTTTCGGTTTGTTTTTTTGAGTGGCGTCAAACTAGTAACCACCGAATAGAGAAGAAACAAAGAAGAAAGAAAAAAAAATATAGAAAACCAAAAAAAGAGTTTTTTTCTGGTTCTTTGAGTTTTGTGAAGAAGAGGAAAAAGCTGGCTCTTGTTCCATTCAAGATCAAGTTTGGAGGTGCCTTTCAAACCCGTTCTTGATGATATTAAGTGCTAGAGTTAAGAATCCCATTCCAGTTCAAATTTGGTGATTCTTCTTTTTCTCAACTTCTCAGTTCAGATTTATAGCAACTTGGTGAGATCTAAACTTATGTTTGTGTTGTATCCACCTTGCATTTGGTGATGTTAATGATGTTCTTGTGAGCCGATGATTATTTCCTTGATTTTTGTAAGCTTCTAATTGCAACTAGAGAATACTATTGTACCCATTAATTTCTGAATTAGTGGAAGACTTTTACGGACCATAGGTCCTGTGGTTTTTCCCCAATTTTGGGGTTTTTCACGTAAAATTCCGGTGTACTATTGTGTGGTGATTGTTATCTATTTTTCTGTTACTTGACTGAATTGTTTACTTGTTATTATTGTTGTAGGCAAACCCATTTTGACACATAAATTTGGGGGAAAGGTTCTTGCTGTCCTAGGATTGATTTTACATTCATTTCTACTACTATATTGTAACTTACCCAACAGAAGCCTCAGGCACCGCTACAGGTTGAGCAAAGGCACAAATAGAGTTGAACGTGCATGGGCATAGGCACCCGATCGAATACCATACTCATGCCTCTCGGTGGGTTGGGATAAGACGCTCCACGCTTTGGGGATATGCTTGAAGACGCCCTCAGCAACAATAGAGCTATTCTTGTCGGGGTGAACCTTGAGAGACATCCTCTTGTATTGCCTCTTGATCGTTTCAGTGTCTACAGATGCAACATTGGCGATGTTGAGAAGCGTGTGCCAATCCATGTCGTCGTTCCTTGTCCTCTTCTTTGTAGCAGCGAGATGGACGTTGTAAGTAGTGAGGAACTGATCAATGACCTCCTTGGTGGCGTTGACATGCTTGATCACGCCTTCTAGGCCTTGAACTTTTCTTCCGCATTGTGTAGGGCTCAACTCGTTACGCTACAACGAGTTGTGGCGGCTTTGGCCAAGAGGAACGAAAAACGGAGGAAAGCGGGAAGAAGAAAGGGGAGGAGAGAAAGGGGAAGGGGAAGGGGAAGAAGAGAAATTGGGGGAGAGAGAAAAATGTTAAGTAATCTGAGGTAGAAGGGATTATTGCCGCCGCTATTCGTGTATCCTAAGGTTATGAAAGATGAACAGTGTTTTCTCCGAATTGTCCTTATTACAAGGATAGTATGGGGATTAAAAAATATTACAACCATGAAAACTAATGGAAAGGGGGTCTTTGTCTCATAGTCATAATACCAGGGGTCTTGGTCGCAAAAGGAGTCTTTGTCACAGACCCATACTACACGGGGGTCTTTGTAATTTACCCTTTAAAATATGGTTTGTTAGTTTTTGTTTCTTCTCCAATTTGTCTCGATTTGCAGTCATTCCATCTATCTCTTTCAAGTAGTGTCCTGCTTTAAGAGATAAATTCCTCAAATTTTCCCTCGACCACATGTGGAAAGCTATAAGCCTACCTTTTATAAGGCTTGAAGCTAGCAATCACAATACCTTAGTACTGCATACAACAACAAGTTGCAGTCATGGTGACGATCTTGAGATCAAAGTGTGCTTTGGTGGCCACACGAAACGAAACTATCAACAGCTTGTTGTCTATGTCGTCTATCAATTTCATCTCTCCTGACACCTTCTACCTTTTGTTTTCTTATATTTCTGGCAAGTTGAATCTACACATGGCTCTCTTGTGGGCGAAGTCTTCTTACCTGCATCGTCTCTAATGCGCGCGGTGATATCAACCAGCCAAAATGTCTGATGTTTGAACCGCCATTTTTAGCAAACAGAGACATCCCTCTTCGGGTTTTTCTCGGAATCCCTTAAAATACATCTTCGTAGGTCGTGGCAGAAAGCTACACCTCTGTTTTCTCATCAGTTGACGATCATGCATTCCCGTCCACACCAGGGTTGATACTTGATAGCTGATACCATCACTTGACGATCACCAGCTGCTCTTTTGAAATCTGCCCTGATTACTGAACGCAAAACATTGGCTGACGTTGTTAACGTTCGGTCCGTTTGATGCATTTTTTTGGGAAAATCTTCTGGTAATTCTGATAGTCAAAAGACGCATTGAGCTTTTGCATGAAAATTTGAGCAGTCCGAAGCACATTTGGCAGATGCATGTCTTTCCGTGTGAGAATAAAATGCATGCGTAAGACACAAGAAATTTCATTTGGAGTTTTCCAAATTCAGTCCAAAATGGTCTTTTCGCATCTTTTCGATGTTTCATCTTTTAGCGGTTAGATCTTATGTGCACCAAACAAAAATAGACCGAAAATTAGTCTTTCCAGTTTAAAAACAGCCGAAAGATCACAGGAAAATACATACCAAACACAGCGGTCATCTTGCAATTCCAATGCAGACCATTAAGGCCCATTCTTATTGTTTATTGATAGTGTTCTTATCAAGATCACTTGTCAAGGCCCATTAGGCCTATTTTCAGTTCTTTTTTTTTTCTTCCTTAAGTTATTGAGGTATTTTTATTTTGGCCCATAAAGGCCTTGCCTATATAGGCATTTTGTTGGCCCAATGTGGTCCTTATTGGCCTTTATTGGCCCATTTCAGGCTGATCGGTAATGGCATGTTATCATGTTGGCCCATAAATGCACCAATGAGGCCTACTGGTGGCCTGTTTTGGCCAATTTCGATTCAGCCCATGTTGGTCTGTTTTGAAAGTTTTTTTCATCAGCACATAGAGGCTCTCCTTTTGAAATAAGCAGGATTGCCACATCATCATCACAGCAGATCTGGAGCATTTTCCATGTCTTTATCACAACAGATTTGGAGCATTTGAATACATATCACGTTGTAACATATTGGTCAAGAGCCCATAAAGATCTTTGATCTCGATGTGTTTGAGGGGACATATTAGGTATTAAGATAGTGATCAAGTGGTTAAGTTGAGATGTAGTATTGGAGTTGTTCACAACTAGATTAGGGTAAGATTGACTAGTTAGTTAGAGGGGTTGTGTGTTTATTCTTCTATAAATTCTCACGAATTATCAGATTTAGTAATTAAATCTTTTCAATTTTTCCGATATTTATATAGACCAGTCTTTTCATGGTGGATGTCAAAACCACGTCATTCAATATATCATAAAAAGTTCGAAAAGATTTTAAATTGTGAGATGTGGCCTCCTCATCCAATGTGAAAAAGACCCATTTTCTCTTTTCTTTTTTTTCTTAAAAAAAAAGAGAGAGTTCCTTGTCGTGTCTTATGCTGAACTTGACATCAGATGCATTGATCCTTTACTTTGGTTCAAGACTAGAGAAAGTATGGGCCAGTATTATGATTTTTTTTTACTTATGTATTATAATAAATTTTGTTTGACGCCCATTTTTTATGTTGTAAATTTATATTATTATTATTATTATTATTATTATTATTATTATTATTATTATTATTATTATTATTATTATTATTATTATTATTATTATTATTATTATTATTATTATTATTATTATTATTATTATTATTATTGTTGTTGTTGTTGTTGTTGTTGGGTCATGGCTAAGCTGGCCCAAAGAGACACATGGCCGCCTAGTCACAACTCGGCCACGTCGGCATAGCTTGGCCATGTCAGCTTAGCCTGGCCACATCGATCCAGTTCGGCGACATCGGCATAGCTCGGCCAAGCTACGTTATTATTGTGGCCCCCCATCTTATCCTTTCATCCACGTCAGTTACACAACACATGGATGAATACAACTACGAATAAAAGGAAGATGGTTCCGCTGGGGAATGAGACTCTATCCCGAATACCTCGGCGACTAACCTCATCCCGACAACCCCGAAAGCCCAATCCGACCAGGACACGGATCTTCGGCTATAAAAATGCACTCCATGCTCAAGGTAAGGGATCCCCAACTTCTGACACCCATACTACTACTTAGCTCGGACCAGCATCCCTATAGCTCGGCTTGGCAATTCATCACCTCCTACTGACTTGAGCATCAGAGTACCTACCTGGGCCTCTGACTCCTCCTTTCTTGATCACAGGTCTTGAAGCGCGGCTTTGTCCTTATAGCTCGGCCCCGCCCCCTCAGCAAGGACTATCTGGTTGCTCTCCTCAGTTTGTGCACCACCTCGGATAGATTAGCATCAGATTGGCACCGTTTGTGGAAACACACAAAAAGCCTTTCCCAAAAAGTTTTTCTGCGCAGCCACAAAACCGACCAAGATGCCTAAAAACCATTCTAAACGATCAGCAGGCCGTTCCCCATCTCGGGAGAACCGACATCACAGCTCCTCACATCAGGAAGCCCTGTAGCCCCCGGCTGTAGTGGACCCAACGAAGTTCCGGGCTATGCAAGAGAAGGTTGTCAAGATCTTTGAGTTCATGCAAGCGCTAGGGTCTGTCGCGCCACCCAATCGGGTCGTCCCCCTCATGCCCTGATGCGCACGACAGATGATCCTCGGACCGAGGACCCCAAAGTACGTCGGTTGGATGTGAGGGGAGTGCAGTCCGAGCAAGAGAGGCAGGACACGACCTGAAGAGAGGCTCCCGCAAGCAGGATCATCACAGCCAGACACACCAGTCAGCT